GGGGATTGGGGACACCGGGGGGCTGCCGGAGAGGAGGCTCCACCGAGCTGGGGGGACCCGAGGAGGGTCTGGGGGGGAGCCGGGGCTGGGGGCAGCTCTGTGCTGGGGGCACCGAGCAGCTGCTCCCTCCCAGGGATGCTCGGACAGGCCTCAGGGATGGAGCCCCCGGAACAGGGCTGGACCCTCCGGAGCTTCCCGGCTTTCCCAGGGGAGCGGTGGGTCTGGGGGCACAGGCACCGGCCGCGCTGGGTCGCAGAACCAGTTTGGGACTGGGGAGGGGGCTCTGCCTGTCCTGCACCCCCATGGAGTTGGGGAGCAGCTCCTCTCCCACCCTGAGCTTTTTGGGGATCCCGCATTCCTGAGTGTTCTCCTTCCCCGGGCATTTCCAGGGGGGTTTCTCCCTGCGATCGGGGGGCACCGGGGCACCCCCGGGACCCTCCAGCTCCCTGCAGGCGGCCAGGAAAAGGTCATTGTCCGGCTCATCCTGGGGCGCTGCTCCCCGCAATCCCACGGGATGCTCCCCCTGCCCGGCGAGGGGCCGGAGAGCGGGGGCTTTACTGGGAGGGGCTTTACTGGGAGGGKCTTTACTGGGAGGGGGTTTACTGGGAGGAACTGGGACGCCGCCGGGTGAGGAATGTCCCGGGATCACAAACTGGTTCTCTGCGTCTTCCACGGCAGAGAGGAAATCCTGTGGGAGAATAAACACCGGGAATTCAAAACGGCTCCGCGTGTTCCTCAGAATTCACCAGAATTCACCGAGGTCGGCCTGGGGTGGGGGGGGATCGCAGCTCTGGGGGAGGGTCCTCAGGTCATCGGGGGGTCCCTCACCTCATCCTCCAGCTCCCCGTCGGTCCCAAAAAGCTTCTGGAAGTGGCAGGACTGTGRGAAAAGGGGGGAGAATGGGACTGCGAAGGACACAACACGCTGGAGAAGCCCGCGGTGATCCCGGAGCTCTCCGCCATAGGATCTTCGGGGCCACCGAGGGCCCCCCGGAAAAACCCCAAACCTCGCCCAGGGGACCCCGGCTCTGCCCCCCTCACCCCGTGGGGGCCCTCTGTCATCCCTTTATGGCATCCCCACCGCGRAAACCCCAAATCTCTCCCAGGGGACCCCAAAATCTCCTCCGTCCCGCCGGGCCCGTTACCATGACAGCGGCGCGACCCCGGCCCGGCCCCGGAGGCGGAAGCGGCGGGGCCGGGATTCGAACCGGGGTCCCCCGGGGGAAAGGGGCGGAACTTCCCCTGCGGCGCCGCGCGCCTCCTGGCGGCGGGCAGGAAACGAGGCCACGCCCCTTAAAGGGCCACGCACCCCCCCTGTCCCCCGCGCGTGTCACATGTGCACACGCGTGTGCCCCCGCGTCACCCGGCCGGGCCCCGCGGCGCCGCCGGTGACTCAGCGCGGCCCCGGCCCGGTGTGATTCATCCCCGCACGCCCCCGCGGTACACGCTGAGTGACCCCCCCCCTCCTCTCATCCCGGGCCTGCTGCACCCACACACGCGCGTGTGCAAGGGCACGGGCAGGTGCTGCGGCCGGCAAGGGCACACGCGTGTGTCTATATGTGCATGCCGCACACACGTGGGTCCGTATGTGTCTTTGTACACGTGGGTCCGTATGTGTCTTTGTACACGTCTCCGAGTGTGTGTGTGTGTCCGTGGCACATGTGTGTGTCCGTGGCACATGGGTGTGTCCTGCACACGCGTGTGTCCCATGTCGTGTGTACTCTGTGTGTGACAAGCTAATGTGCAGCTGCACACGGACACAGGGCACGCGTGTTCCCTGGCTGGCCTGTTGCAAACGCGCGTTCGCACATAGCATGATCACACACTCGCGTGCACGCGTGATTACACACCAAGTTCCCGGGCGTGCACACGCGTGTGTGAGGCCACACAACAGCCCGTGGGGACGTGTGCTTGCGGGAGCCCCGACACGCCGCCCTGCCACACGCACTCGCGTTTAATTCTTGTTGCACACTCATCCACACGCGCGTTACCCCTCACCCACGAACACTTTTCCACGCGCGGCCCCTTTAAGACCCCTTTGAGGCTCCGCCCCTCCCCGTTCTTTTCCTTTTAGCCCCGCCCCCTCGGAGGGGCCGCGCGCGCGGGGGTCTATTTTTAGCGCCGGGCCGCCGTCACGTGACCCCCCTCTCGGCGAGTGACGTCACCGAATGTTGTTGTCGGGGCGGGCGGGGCCGCGCGGCGAAGATGGAGGAGGAGGCGGGGGGGCGGCGGGGCGCGCGCCGGGCGGCACCGGGGGGACCCCAGGTACGGGGGGGACACGGGGGGGACACCGGGGGACACCGGGGGACACGGGACAGGGGCGGGGG